ATTATTTCTAAATAAATAAATTAATTAAATAACACAAGATTTTTCTACAATTTACAGAAATGTGAAATAACTAATTTGAATAGTTAACATTTTTTGGTAATTTAAATTAAGAGAAGGAAGAGAACATTCTGCAATGTTAATTCGATTATCAAGTACGAATTCCTAGTACTTTACTTTAATAAACGTACAGGGACATACAATTTAGAGAAAATCTCTTCCAGTGACTAGAGTTTAACTCCTAGATATTTGGCAATATGATTAAATTACAGCTGTATTTTCTAATTTTAGAAAGACATGTTTGTTTTAGCTGTATATTATTCGATTAAGCAGAGAAGAATTTGAGTGACAGTGTGTAAGTTGTATTAATTGAGAAATATGGGAAATTAAAAAAACTCTTGTCTGACAGTTTTTATTAGTAGAAATTAATATTTATATATATATATAAATATATATATATATATATATTTATATATATATTATATATATATATATATATATTATATTATATTATTATTATATTATATTATTATATTATTATTATATTATTATATTATATATATATATATATATTTATATTATATATATATTATATTTATATATATATATATATTTATATATATATTTATTTATTAATATTTTATATTATAGGTGAATATGTGTGGACTTGTATACTTGTATAAAAATCGAGATAATAATAAAATTTGTTTATGTTTTTATTTTTTTATTCAAATTTTGTCCTGTAAAAATTCTGTGGGGTAATGGGAGAATTAGTGTCAGCCCAAAGAATTTTCTTTACTATGTTACAGCTTTCGTTATTTCTTTGAAAATTGTAAAAGATATCACCTTATGAACAAACTTTTAATTAAGAAATAATTTTTGGTGGAAAAAATGAAAAATTTAATTTTTTTTCAAAAATTTTGTATTAAATTATAATTTAGGAAAAAATTTATTCTAAGTCTAAAGTTTTGGCTTCATTGTAAGTATTAACACTTTTTTCTATTAGAAAACAAAAAATATTCCTAAAAAATAAAAAAATTTTAAATTTCAAGTGAAAGCTCCCAATACCCCACAAATTGGGTGATGGCAAAAAATGTATTTTTTTAAAAAAAATTTTTTTTTTCAATTTACTTTCTCTTTTTAAGTTTCTAATTAAACATAATTAAAGATAAATAACGAAATGAGTAGAAAATAACGAAAACAATGTATTATTATAAAGATAAGTTGGTTTTTTTAATAATTTTCCTTAAGGGGCTCCAATTCCCCCACGCTCCCCTAATTTCTTTTAATCTTTAAATAACAAATTTAAAGTCATATTTGGAAATTAAAGTCAAATAAAAGTCATTAAACCGTAGTGAAAGTAAAATTCAAAGTGGAAGATAAATTTGAAGTTTGAGTGAAAATAAATTTACCTAGTCGCACTTCTATTGAAGAGAAATTCCACTGCTTAAGAATTCAGTGAACTAGAGAACCTCACAAAAAATTCGTCAAGAAAAAATTATTTTCATCTAAAACTAAAATTAAATGAATGTCAAATTTAAATTATACACATTTTTTCTCAATTATAAAAACTGTAGATTGCAAACAATCGGATCAATATTTAATTACCACCTTTTCGAACTATCCACTTGAAAAGAAATTCGCTTTTTGAAATTAAATTTCGGGAATTTTATTCATAAAATATTTTTAAAAAATGAGAGATACACCCAAAGAAAAGATATATTATTTACTCAGAGGTTAATAGTTAATTATTCATTTGTGTATATTTTTCATTTTATTTGATTCAAATAAATTATATTTGTGCTAAATAAAATTTTTTATATTAATACAGAATAAAATAAAATACTAAATAGAATTTAGTACAGCCAAATCTATACAAATATTCTCTAATAGCACAAAATATTCTATTCCCATTCCTAGAATATGCTATTGGATCATTGGGAATATTCTAAATAAATATTCCATCAAAATATTGTAGGGAAATGACATTGGAATTTTGTAAGAATATTGTATTATTATTATTAATGACATACTAATAAACTTTCATGTTATTTAACAAAATTATAAATTCATTTTAAACCGAAAAATTGTAGATGAAAAAGTAATATTTCTATATTATTTCAAAACATAAGTACTTCGAAATATTCCATTGGAACATTCTTGTAATATTCACACGCAGAAAAAAAGAGGAATTAAATTTACCCTCAGGAGTATAAAAATTGACAAATTTTTAGTGTCAACTATAAGACAACACTCTTTTGTTTGAAGATTACTATTTATGTAATGTAAAAACCAAGATAATTAGTTTTACACTCAAGGAATGTGTAGTACAATATTCAACCAGTTTTATTAAATTTTTTAAAATATATGTGTACTGGGGTCACAAAGTTTGAGTATATTTGGACTGATTATATTTAAATGCTCGCTTTACTTTAAATTCAAATATTTCAGTAAAAATGTGTGCAAAAGTTATCAAACTAGAATAATTTAAAAGTTAAATAAATTTGGAGTCAAATGGGCTAAGAAATAACCAATTTAATCATGTAAATATGAAATTATAATTATTCTTTTAAGGGGCCGTGCATAAACTATGTAGACCAATTTTTTGGAAATTTTGACCCCCCACGTAGACGCTGTTACATGTATTAGCGTCATTTTTTCCTCTTATCGTAGACAATAGCTTTACCCCTCCCCCCTTGAAGTGCTACGTAGTTTATGGACGACCTCTAAGTGAAAGATTTTTTGTGAAAATAGCGATTTTTAAATCTTGAATTCAAGCGAACGCCATTTAAAGAGACAATTTTTTTAAGCTTTGACAGTTGTACAATATGAAGTACAAATTCTATTCTTTAATTTTAGACTAAAATCATTCACAAATATGCAGTGTATTTTCTACAAATTTTATAAAAATAACTTCTCTTGCTCTAAATTTTTCAAAGTACATAAATTACAATAAATTAAATAAATAAAATTTAAATATCTTAAATTTCGTACAATCAAGAGGTTCTATATTTTCCAAAAGTGTGGAATTTGCAATTAATATTCTTCGAAAAATTTAGAGCAAGAGAATTTATTTTTACAGAATTTGAAGAAAATACTTAATATTTGTAAATGATTTTGGTCTAGAATTAAAAAATGGAATTTGTACTTTATATTGTACAACTGTCAAAGCTTAAAAAAAAGTGTTCTATAATTGGCGTTCGCTTGAACTCAAGATTTCAAAATCGCTATTTTTACCAAAGAATCTCTAACTTCAAAGAATTATATTTTCATATTTACATGATTTTCCATGCAATAAAAGTTTTATTCAAAATTGTGTCCAAAACAATTGCCATTGACAGAACTATAAATGTAACCTAAATCTTCTTTCTAATATTAAATTACAATTATTTATCTGATATTTTCTGTGGATATCTATTGTTCATAAGAAGCTTTAAATAAATATCCTCTCTTATGTAATAAAAATTATTTTGTAAGCAATTGTAATTAAAAATTACATTGAAATAAATATTTCATAAAATTCATAGTGTAAGCTAATTTCAGAGTGTATTTTTTACATAAAATATTGAATAAGCATTTTATTGCAGGGACACTCCAATAAGAATTGTCTTGCATTAAAGGTTGAATAAGAATGATCCTGCATTTGTTTTTCTATAAGCATTATATGAACGGGAGGCGTCGATTTATAAGAAAGTTTTCGTAATAATTCTTAAAAAGAAAACTTTTTCATAGGAGAGAAATAATTAAAATATTTAATTTGAGTAATAAAATTGTAGTAAATTTTTAAAATAATTTTTTTTGCAAGAACGCAAGTCTCATAAGATATTTAAATTGTGTGTAATTATTTGTAAAAATAATATTTTAAATAATAATTTAAATTTTAATTCTATAGAGTTTTTTTTCAACATCTTACTGAAAAAATTGTCTAACATTCATCTAACAACTAAAATTACATTATTTTAAAACATTACACAGAAATAGATAAAAAATAAATAAGAAAATGTAAATAAATGAAAAAGGGGATTTGGTTATGTCATTTACTAAGTTTAGTGTTTTTACAAAAACTTTTTAGAAATGTAAAAGAGAAAAAGTTTTTTAATTAAAAAATACATGTATTTCAGTTTGAATATCTGAGGATGAGTGTCGTCGACGGGCGAAAGCTTATAAATAAAATATTTTAAATAATAAAAATTATGGATTTTTATCAAACACTATAATATCACACTTAAATTATAAATCCAAATAAAATAACATCACAATATAAATTAGAAAAATATACTTCAAAACTGGCACTTATAATTTTCTCAAAATTAATTTTTAATAGTATATAGCTAATTGTAATGGTCGAGGAAAATTTGAATAATTAAAAAAAAAATTAACATTGAGAATGGCAAATTTTGCTATTAAAAATTGTTTCCAGAGTAAATTTTATAATATTTGCCGTAAATTTAAATGGAAATTAGTAAATATACTTTGAATATATATATAGAAACTATATTTATTAACAATTAAAATAAAAAATATTTAAAAAAGCACAAATTAAAAAAAAATTACCGAAGATGAAAGTTAGATTTATCGAAAGCTACTTTCTCTTTGCAACTTTTATCTTCGGTAATTTTTTTAAAATTTGTGCTTTCTGTAATATTTTTTATTTTAATTGTTAATAAATATTTTTAGTTTTTAAAAAGGACATCAGAACTGTCGAAATGTAAAAAGTTGTTTTTATTGTTTATTTGACTTGGAAGATTGATAATTTTTTAAATATTTGTTACCTTTTATATATAATTTGAGGCGATCAAAAAGGGGATTATGTAAAAACGTGACATTTATTTTAAAATGTGAATAGAATTCTCCCAATGTTCCAATAGAATACTTCAAGAATGGTTTTTTAATATTCCGCAATATTCGGTTTAAAAAAAAACTGAAAAATATCAAAAGAAAAAATGAAAATCATTTAAAGGGTAAATAAATTAAAAAGCATAGAAGGAAAAAAGAAGACAAACCTGGGCCATGTGTAAACGCCGGAGACCTCGAATCCGTAGTGCCAGCTTCCGGAATAGGCTCCTTGACCTTTGGGACCGGTGCAAACGCCGTGACCATGAGCTTTGCCGTCCTCCCAACCACCGCAAAAGGTGCCGCCGTCGTCGAAGTCGAATCTGCCACCGTTGACTTGCGCCCTGTTGGGGCCCATTGCCGTCGCGGTTCCCGTTGCCCCGGCCTGACCGGGGCTGCTCATTCCGGCCGCTTGAGGCAATTGGGCCCCGCCGGCAACGCCGTTTGGCGCGCCGGACGGTTGCTGCTGGCCCTGGGGCTGTTGCTGCATTTTTTAATCGCTCGATCGCACGGAGCAGCAACCCGTTTCGAGCGCCTTTCGTCCACTCTGCCGTGCGTCTCGTTGTTGCTCGTCAGCAGCGCCCGGTATTGCCCGGACGCTTTTCCATTCTCCTTTCCGTTATTCTTCGGGGCCTCACGAGCTCCGTACTTCTAAAATATTCCATTCAACTTTCAATATTCCGTTCAACTTTCACAATTTTTTTTTTCATTTTCAATTTCAATTCTCTTTTTTATTTTTCACTTAATCGACAATTTAATTTTGCAAATGAATTTTAATTTTATACTTCAATTAATAAATTGTAGACTAAACAATTTTTATAAATTCGATTTTAATAAATTTCAATAAAGTTTAATTAACTTTATTTAAAACCATTTACTTTTCATTAGCTGGGGCAATAATTTTCATAAATGGTTATTTGACAATCGTGTGTTTATATAATTATAATATGTAATTATTATTTCAATTAAATAGATAAATTATTTTCATTTTTGTTTTTTATAGTGTAAATTTATGAAAGCTTTACAAAAGATTTTTAAAAAATTATAGTTTATTTGTTTTTAATTAGTTCATGTATTTTTGGTATATTTATTTATTTATCTTTATATTATTCTATTTATTTATAGTTGACTTATTTATTTTTAGTTGATTGATTCATTTATTGTTGATTTATTTATTTTTATTTTATTTACAGATGCAAAAACGAAAAAAATTTTATCTTTCTCTGTTTGAGTGTTAAACATATTTTATTTATAATTTTTGAAGTTCAACGTGTTCAATTAATCAAACGACGTAGATTTTGTAGTTTTTTAGATTTTTGATTTATAATTTTCGAATTCCAAAGTGTTCGATTAATCAAGTGACGTAGATTTTTATTTTTTATTTATAATTTTCAAATTCCAAAGTTTCTATCAATCAAGTGACGTAAATTTTGGTGTTTCTTTTCAAATTACAAAATTAGAGGAATATTTTCAAAAATTATGGTAAATTTGCTTTCTGTAATCGTTTTCTCTTTTGTTTAGGAACATATGGGTTTATTTTAATTTTTAAATGAATCTTATGATACTCGTTACACTTCTTTCGATTCATTCATAATTTACAATAACGCCCCCTTATTTATATTTTTAATCACACGTTACTTCAATAATCTATATCTAATTTTAAAAATATTTCTATATAATATTATTATCAATTCTAATTATAAATAATCTAAATAAAAAAATGTTATATGCACCGTTCGTATTTCCTTATGAAAAAAAAAATTCCCCAATATTTTTAGTTTAAACGACAAAATATTTTCATATACAAAATATTTCCATATTCAAATTTATATTTTTATATACAAATTTAACATTTTCATGTAAAAATCTAAAAGTTTTGTATACAAATTTTTTTTATGTATACATATTTTACATTTTCATAAAAATAAAATTTTTTATTGTTCTATATAAAAGAAAGATTTCGTACATTAGCAGAGAAGAAAGAGGGATTTGAAACGGTTTTGATTTTAAAATGAAGATTCTAATAAAGTAAAAACTTGCGTATTTTTAAATAAGCACTCAATAAAAAGAATAGGAAGCAAAAATATAAAGCGAGAGAGCAATTTTTACATTGTGGACAAGAGAGTTGTCTCATCTACTCTGTTAAAGTTCACGTAATAGCTAAACTGCAACATCTCCGCGAGCTGATATTTTGAGACAATCCTACCGTGCTACTGGCGACATAATTTCTCGTCCGTCACCGCGTGTCATCATAGTTTATACTGCAAAATGAAACTTTCTTTTCCTTCAATACTCTTCAAAAATTTTACCAATACAAGAAATATTAATCTTTCCCAAAATATTGCCCTCGGCTTTCTTTTATTTCAAATATTTATTCTCTTTATCGTTACTTTTTATTTTCTTTTACCTAATCTTCACATTTTTTCAAGGTTTCTTTTTCGTAATAAATTTTTAACAGTTAAAAATGATTCCTTGCTTTCTAAATTTGAATTAGTTAAAAATAACTGGTTTGATAGTTTAAAAGTCAGTCACTGAGTCAAATAGTAATATTTCTACTAATAAAACAGTTAATATTTAATCAATAATAGTTAAATAAATAATAGCTATATAATAGTTAATTATAGTTAATATTTAGTTCAATTCACTTTTAAGTTATGTCAGAATAACTAAAAATTTTGTACTGGGTTCAGCCAGTCAAATTTGACTATTTTATTTAGTTGGTTTTTACAAATAATTAGCTATTTTTTTTACTAGTGATCAGTTATTCTCTGCCAATAATTAGTTATTTTCTAATAACAATTAGTTATTCTTTATCAATTATTAGTTATTTTTTACTAATTATTTGCTATTTTAACTTTTAATTGGCTATTGTGTACTAATAATTAATTATTTTCTAGTAATAATCAGTTGTTTTCTTCTAACAAAAATAAATTATTTTTTACTAACAATTAATTATTTTTTAATTGATGAAGAAAAAAGTCTGTCAAGATTTAACCAACAATTAGTTATTTTTAACTAATTCAAATTTAGACAATCTCTTTAGTGTTTTCCGAACTTTTATATTTATTTATGTTTACAATTTAGTAATTATGTTAAGGAGTGAATTGAATTATATATTTTTTTAAATTAAAATCTAAGGAAAGGCTAATTTTTTTGGGGAAAAAATTTAAAAAAACTGAAATAGCATGTAATAAACTCGCGCTCGGTAATTCCTGGGTGAGACTCTTTCTCTCTCTTTTTCTCTCTCGCAACATTGTCAGGCCAAATTCTGGCACTTGATTTGGAATGCAGATTTCTCAGTGTGATACCGGCATAACGAGCAATTTATGAGAAGAAAAAATTTGACCGATCAAATGAAAAAGAGAATTGAAATTGAATTTTATTTTCAATTTTTTTGGAGTGGAGGGGTTAAAACACTTTTTTTAATCCACACTTCTTTGGAGCTTTATTAGAATTTAAAGCTTGTGTATGCTTTTTGATCCATGTCCCTCCGCGCACTTGTTGAGATATACACCCTCGCAATTTGCGTCACTGGCGTCTTATACACTTGAGCCAAAGTTGCACACTTCTACTATATATTTACATAAACATACGGAGAAATACGTAAATATAATACATACGTGAGCATGACTGCCTCAGTGAAAAATTAGAAACTCTCAGTGAATTAAAGAAAATAAATGACCAATAGACAATGGAAATCTACACCCAGCACTTTTATTTAAAAAGCAACTTTTTCGAGAGGAAAAAAATACACTTTCGAAAAGGATCGGATAAGACATTCGGCACTGGAGAGATAGGTTTTAGAGAACTTGGATCTTGGCCCTTCGCGAGAATTAAAAAAAATAATAAAGAGGCCCCCGTTAAATTATGTATTTGCGCGAAGAGAGACAAGTTCGATTAACCGAGACTCGACTTCTTTGCTTCACCGCGGTTACTCCTTCGTCTAAAACTGCGTTACGCAACGCTTCTATAAGCATCCGTGATCTGCTCGGAATGTGGCCCCACATCGACTCCGACCGGCGCACGAAAGCTCGTAACCACGAAAGCTTTCAAAGTTTGGAAAGACGCTTTGATGAGTTGACGATGTCCTCGCGGGGCCTCACTATACACCTGCGCGTCTATTAATCATCATATCATTCGTGAAAAAAAACAAAAAAATGTGAATTATAACACCAGCAATGAGATGGAGTAAATAGGAAATTTATACAAGTGGAGAATGTTGAGAAAGTTCAAGATGAAGTAAAAAAATGATTGTGAATTTGTCTTTAAATTCATTTGATAGTGTGGCGGTTGAACGTGATGATTTAATAGGATTGTATACACTCTAATCAGTCAAAAAACAACATTGGAGAAACTAAGGATGAATTAGCTAAAAAATTTATTTGATGCAAAGAAACTATTTTTTGTCTACTGTGTGAATCCATAGTCGGTCGATTTTCTTCAGTAAAAAGAAGTCTTCAAAAATATATAGACCAGAAAGTATCTAAAATTTGCTATTGTTCAAAAAAATCATAAACAATTGTTAAAATATACGAATTTTTTAAACATTTTGAATTTTCGTGATACTCGTTACTCGGGAGTTTTTAAGGTTGCTAAATGCTAATTACGAATCTAATTTTACTTTTTCAAAATTCAAAATTGATTTTCAAAAACCAACATCAGATTCGTAATTAGCGACCCAAAAAAACCCTGTATGAAAAGATACAAGAGAATTGTATATTAGATTTTTAACTTTTTCGTCCTAAATTTTGAAAAAGTATCCTCAGATTAGTAATCAGTGACTCCAAAAACCCCTGAATATTAAGGTATTATATAACTATTTATATATATATAACTATATATACTATATAACTATAGGTACAAGTTTCAATTCCTATTGGTACAACTTTCCTGACATAGAATTAAACAATTTCAAACTAAGGTGAATTATACTTTACTTATTGAAGAATTTATTGCAGACTAAGGAAAAGCTGTTCTCTTAATTATGAAAAATTAGTTGTCAAAATTAATGTATGTAATGACAATTTGTCAGTTAGAATAATTGAACTTACAGAAATAAAAAAAGAGAACCAAAATAAAATTGTTATTTATTTATTATTATATTACGAATAATTATATTAATTTCAATTATTATAAATAAATTAATATAATTAATTTTTTTGGTACAAGTGAATATTTTTTTGATAATAGACAAATATTCGATTATTCGAAACTGGTACTAATTGTTTTTCAATTAATTGTATGCGATATATGTGAATTTAAAAAATTAGAATTGAAAAGTTTTTTCTCGTTGCATAGTTTAGAAACACGTGACCATTCATATTTTGAATATTATTTGGTTGATATCGTCTTTTTTTCACAATTGCTTTCATCTTACAAATGATTGCATATCGTTTTCTTTTGATTGCAGATTGTTCAGGTCCTCACATCATCTCTGTTTTATCATAATTAATTTAAAAGATTTCAATTTATCTCCACGTGCCATCTTATTTTGTTCACATATATAGTCTTTTTTGCATTTTTTTAAAATAACTTTTTTGATTAATCATTATGATACATTTTTTTATCGTCAAACAATATCATATCACAATCTTATCATATAATAAACACATAATAAACTCAATTAGGAATTTTTTAATTTGCAAAACTTC